GAAGCACCATTACAGTGCATGATATAACATGTTCACCATGGAACACTGACACATTCACTACAAGATTAATATTCAGCTGACTCTTCTTAAGAGACAGCAGGTGCTGCAACCCATGTTGTGACCCATAGTGGTACTTAGCAACAGATTCCAAGATGAGATGGTCTTCTTTCAAACTTTATTCAGTCCAAGCTTAAGAGTAAATCCTACAGGCTGCAACAGCTGAGCTACCAAAACCATAGGTAAAATGTAGGAAGATCATACATTATGCCCTAATCTCTGAGGCACATTCCCTTTCAACAAGAAGCATCATAAATCCACAGAAATGTTTNAGTCCTGGGCAAAGGAGTCAATAAGATTAAATTAACTAAAGCAAAGTATTAAAGCTTCATTCTACAGCGATTCCACACAGAGAAATAGAACTTAGTTTCACTAAATAACTTTAAAGAAAATATTGCGAAACAACCTTTTTAGAAATCTATCCAATCCTGAGATGTTTCCAAGGTGCTAATAAAATCAGAAACATTTCGGGAGGTCAGGAAAGTTCCTAAGTCTCTGTAGCAGCTCAGGGAAACATCTATTACAATATGCCAGTTATCTTCAGCCTCCCTTTCCTCTAGGCAACGGAACTTCGGATCTGGGTGACTAAAGCTGAGATATTGTTAACAACTTCAAAAAGCATGAGTTCTCAAAAAGTTAGAGATCTTTCCATGGAATACTCTAGTATTATTAAAGAAAGTGGGGGAGGAAGGGAGGGAAGGAGGGAAGGAAGAGAGGCGCATAAAATGATTAAGAAATTAATTTCACAACTCTGTATTTCTTATGTGAAGATCCTGTTTTCACTTTTTAACACAGGGTGAAATGACTTTCAAAGGTTTTAGAAAAGTACAATGTAGAATCACATACCTAAATATTAAATTTAATGCAAGTAACGGAATCTTCTTACCTTCACTGTAGTTGAGTACTGTTCTGCATGTTTTTGACACTCATCCATTTTGCTCTGTTTCATTTCTATTTCGGACACCAGCATCTATAAATACACACAATTTAGAAGAAAAACGACATGGAACTCTCTGCTATTCAACTCTCTGCTCAGGAACTATGAAATATCCACATCATTTAATAATATAGCTCCTTAGCCCTTAGCACGTAACTTGTAATTTACCTTATGGGTAAATCACAAACTTCCAGATTACGCCATATAAGTGATCCACCCACATGGGGCTTTCAAAGCAGAAATTACTAAATTCCATTTTGCAAAAGTGGACTTGAAGCTCTTGGCCCCCACATATTCTTGATCAAAACAGAGCTAGAAATTACTGGCCCCTCAAGATGAAACAAAAATCTATAGAATTGTCCACATGAAACCTGTGTAATTTTACTAACCCTTCTCACCCCAATAAACTTTAATTAAAACAAAAAAAAATCTCAAAGCACTGAACTTTCAAACGTGGTTATTTAATTTTCTACCAGTAACCATTTTTTTATTTAGGATCCCACAAAACTATTGTAACCAGCAGAGTACCAAAGACATTTCCATACCTATGATTAGATAATCATTAGGTATTTGAAAACTGCCCCAACACATTACTTTCTTCTTCCTTATGCTTTCAAACATGACTTTTCAGAAATCAAAGTAAGTGATATATACAGGTTTGGATTGCAGGATTTTANTGTTCCTTTATCTGTTGATCCATTTTTTGCTTCAGGTTTTCAACTTCACGTTTCTGAGCTACCAGCTCCGCTTCAAGTTTCTTACATTTTTGGTAATGATTTGCTTCCATATTCTGACCTTGTTGGGTTTGCTCACGATATTGTTGAAGCTGCCTTTCAAGTTCTCTAATATTTGTTTCACAGAGCTTCGCATTCTCTTGAGCTCTACAGTTTTCTCGCTGAAGAGATACAAAGTCAAGCTTGATACCTGAAATATCATTTTCAGTGATCACTTTGGAGTCCATTAATTTTTCCATCTTTTTCCGAAACTCCTCTGCCGAACATTTGAATTTATCAGATTCTTCCTGGAACAGAACCATCTTTCTGTGGGTCATCTGCTCCTCTATGGTCTTTAAGTGCAGTTCATCTTGTACCTTTTTCAACCTGTTATTTAACTCTTGCACCTGAGCTTCTTGTAGCTGTACTTTCTGCTCCCCGAGTCGCTTTTCTTCTTTGGAAGCGTTCAGCTCAGCATTCAGGTTTCTAACCTCTTTCTCAGTGTTCTGGATGATAATGTTCTGCTTGTCACACTTTTGCTTAAATTCACTTACTAAGCTTTGACTTCTGGCCAAGTCTTCTTCTAGGCATTTAATTTTTTTATGGAAATCCTGCTCTGTTTTCGTCTGTTTGTGCAAGTGCTCATTTGTGTTGCGGAGCTGATCTTTGAAACCATCTGCCTGAATTTTCAGTGTTTCACATCTTTGCTGGATCGCTTGTTTCTCTAACACCACATTCGCCGATTCTGCCTGAATTCTCCGCATCATTAATCTGGTTTCATTATTCTGCCTCGTAAGCTCATCTACTTTTTGTTTCAGCGTTTCTGCACAGTTATTACTTTTCTCCAATTCTTCATTAAGATTTTGGATTCTATCATTATTTTCTTTTTCAGCTTTAATGTTCTGAAGCAACTGCGCATGGCTTTTCTCAAATTCTTCTTTCAGATGATCTGATTTTCTCTGACAGAACTGTTTTCTTTCATTTGAGAATCCCTTCTTATCCCAAAACGAGTTATCTTGTGAATTTAAATGCTGAATGTTCCTCTCAGCGATAGCATGTGTCCTGGTGATCCTGTCTACTTCTTGTTGCAGTTTCCCTTTTTCCTGTTGAAGGGATTCTAATTCTACTTCATAATTGTGCTTGATTTTCTTAAGATCATTAGCTTCTTGTATGACTTCTTCAGCTTTGTCTGTGGTTTGGTTCAATTGCCACCCCAGTTCTCTGAGCTGCTGAGAATACCCTTCCTCTACCAGATCCTTCCTCTCCAACTCTAACTTAANATAATACAGCATTATATGGTTCTTGCATTTGCCCAGTCTAATCATGAATCAAGGCTAACTTAATATCCGAGGTGGCCATAGGCTCAGCACTGGCCCAATGTCATACTTGTACATAGCAGTACACAAAAATATACATGACTGAGGAACACTACCCCAACGAGTATCTTACTTCCCCAAGCTCCTGGAAACAATGCTCCTTTTGAAAAACCTACAATTGACAGTATTAATCTGTAGGTCTGCAGATCAAAATTAAATAATTTTTTATTGCTAAGATTTTCACTAGTGAAAGCTGCCTGTGATGGTCAGAAGCATAAAATTGATATATTTGAGGAGAGCAAGAGGTCGTAACACTTTCTCCTAATTCCTCAATGTCTCATTTCTGAATACCTAATATCAGAAATTGCCATTCTAAAATGAGCAAAAATGAGAGTAAGTGATGGGCCAATGAAAAGGTGTTTTCCCCCCAAACTATTCTATTTAGTCAATTTGAAGTCTATTTTTCATGGTTATAGGTAGTAATGAGTTCATACTTATATTTTGAAAGACATTTATTATTCACATCAAATTGCCTTAAATTCTTTTAACAGAGAGATCATCAAGTGTTATTAGAAATTTATAATTTAGGCCATGTTCCGCATTTAAAAAAGTGTGTTTACTTTTATGTCTACTAGGTCCAAAACTGATCTAGTAAAATTTTGGAGAATTAAATACTACAGAATAAGAAAAAAAACAAGGGTTTATAATCCACATTTCTCAAAAGAAATTTGTTCTCCCAAGAAATCCTTGCTAAGGTTGATGTCCCTATTGTGGTTCTCTTCCTATTTGACAAGGGGAGAAGGAAGAGGGTATTTTAAACCAAATATTTGCATAAAATAACTTTGAAAAGTCCTGCGTTTAAAACACCAAATGTAATTGCTTTCCAATTTCTTATTTCTTCCACACTGCATGAAATATAGTACACAAAACTATGAGCTAATAGCGTTGCATTTCCAGTGAATAATTAAAATATATAGTCAGGCCTGTAAACTTCTCCAAGGGGGAGCCACAGATGAGGTACATCTGCCTCACATCACAGGGAAAAATTAGACAAGACACTGAAATTTTCCCTATTTAATTATGTCAACAATGCCTGTCAACGGATGACAAATGAGAAGCTAATGATACCTAATAATAGCCCCTATGATTTCCAGAGGTCAGGCAGGGGCAGGAGGGCAGTATAGGAAAAGTTTTCTAGAAAAATGCTGCTTAACTTAATGGAAATTTTTAAAAATACAGCAGGAATTCCAGTGCTGTCACCAGTAGCAGCAGCAGCAATCCTGGAATTCACACCCCTTACCAACCAGTGCCCTCAGCGCTTCAAGTGGTGGCAGTCCGACAGACACCATGGAGCACAAATATCTGAGGAGCTAGAGTGATCCAGCTAATGCCAAGGAGCTGGGGTACAGAAGATAGCCCACAGAGCTAAAGAATTCAATTACGTCAGGGAAAGCATCTAGAATTTCCAGTGACTGACTGGAGAACACGCCTTTATAAAATAGGAAAGGTCCAGAAAGGCACAACTAAGCTCAATCCTCAGACACGTTAATATCCTCATTTGTATTTCCATAATTCTCGAAAGTCTTTGTTTACATTTGTTAAGAATGAGACTGCACACATCTGTGATATGGAGTGCATGGATGTACTCTGGGCATACAAAGGATGACTCTGCTCTTCAGCAATCCTCATCACAGAAATCCTTCAAGCAGCAGATCCACGACTAGGAAAGGCAGCGTAACATTAGTTTACTACTAATATGACTGATATATACTGTTCAGGCTTTGGAATCAGAAACACCTCTTCTGCCTGCCACATATTGTGCTTTGTTGGGCAGGTTCCTTAACCTCCCTGATCCTCATTTGTAACTGCCTATAAAAACGAGGGGAAAGCAAGGCAAAGAATTCATTTTCTTTTTAGGTGGACTGTATCATCTCCTAAATTCTACCCAATATTATTAACGAGGGCCTCAGTGAGTACCTTTTGCTTAGAGAGGGGAGATTTTCCAGCCTTCTCTCCATCTCTCAAGGTCTTGCTGATATTTGATACCCATTTCTGTAATTCTTTGGCTTTTTCAACATGCTCTTTCTTTTCTTCTTCCAGTGACTTCTGACAGGTGTGAGTAGTAAAAAAAGATATTCCGGTAAATGACTGAGCTATTAATCTGACCTCTCCACAGAAAACAAGAATGTAAAAATGTGTTTTCATTACACACAGGTTACTGAAATCTTTTATTTATTCACTTAACCATGTTTATTACATCACACAGCAGATGTACTTCCACAATGGTTATGGTAGCAAAGGAAGTTCTGACAAACATTCTTGAATCATCAGTCTAACCTCCCAGCTGGTCAATCAATATGACAAATTAAAAAAAAAAGAAAACAACTCAATTTTATTCATGAAGCACTATAAGATCTTTGAATTGCTGCCTTTGCATTAGCATTACAATCACAATTGTCTTGACAGAGAAGTATGAAGAAATGGAAAGCTGAAAGAATAGAGAATGTGTACACATATATGAAAATTACATAGAATGAAGAAAATTCTTTCCCCCATCTTCCCACACACAATCCATTCACAATGCTACTTTCATTACCAAGTCTAGAAATAGGAGATTGTGATATTTAATATGTGAAGAAGTTTCCTACGTACAGAAAAACTAAAAACTTTTATTTTTTAAGGCAAGCTGAAACGCTATAGACTCAAGGATGTGGGAAAGAACTGACAGCTCTCTCTGATTCCATGGTGTTTTTTTGAAGTGCTTTTTCAGTGAGTGTAATGGGTCATTTAAGAAACAGGAACCCTAACATCAGGCTGGGTCTGTTCAGAGATGAAGAGTTCTGACGAAAGCATGCTCTGAACTTGCTGAACTTCATCAAGCTTATCCTACATCCTAGGCAAAATACTTTTATTTTAGGGTGGGCTAAATTAAACAAAAATTATCTAAAAGCTAAATAAATGGAACCATTTTTACAGCAGTAAATCTTTACTTATTTTAAATTTAAAATTATCCTCTCTTCTGTACAGTCATCAATTTTCAGCCCTCCAGGAATAGTGCTTTGAGCATGTGACACAATTACTAGACTGTATATCTAATTGATACCATCATGCTCTAGATAGATCACAGGAAATAGACAGCATCACCCTGGGCAACGTTATTCCAACATATCCTCTTATGAAGAATAGTAGAGGCTGGAAATTCCTGTCATCAAAGGTTCAGATACTTCTAAGAGTTTAAGTCCTGTGTGGAAATCAAAATCAGCTTTTTCTAAGGCTTCTTTATATGTCAACTTTCTTTTTGTTTGGGGACATATTATATTCCTGACATAGGACTTTTGATCTTTGAGTTTTGTAGCAAGGAAGACATCTATAATGCCTACTTGGAGAGCCTCTTCTATTGACAACCGGGAGTGAACCTGGGGCTCTATCAACCCCCCCGTCAAGTACTGAAACTCCAAACATCTGATTCCCATCTCCTTACTTATGATATTTGCATTCACAGCTTCGACCACTGACATCACTTTTTTTGTGACCGGATGGCCAACCCCCGTGATTACTAATTCACACTGTCGCAGCTGCTGGGCAAACCCCTCATCCACGAGGCCTCTGTGCAAAGCTTCGGCCACCCGGTACTTTTTGCCAGTCAGAGGATCAATTATCCCCCCTGTGCTAACTTGGGCTTCAAGGCATCTGAGGGCAGTCATCCGATCGATCAGATTTCTACGGGAGGCCTTTAGGACACAGATCCTCTCCCCACTAGCAGTCAGCCAGTACCCTGCGATAGGACTGTGCTGATCCTTCTTGGGAACTAACCGGCTCAGCAAAGAATCGGCAAGTTCTGTCAGTGTGATGAGGCCTTCCTGATACTTTTTGACCAAGGCTTGGTCAACTGTTCCCTGCTCTACAGCCTCGTCAATATTGAACTGTAGTCCTGTTTTAGCATCAGTCAGCATATGAGAAGGATGTCCATAGGATTCAAAAAATGTAGCTTCCCTCCACTGATACTGCTGCCCTGAGAGCTCAAGATACATACTTTTTTCGATTAGGTTTCTCTGGAAAGCCTCATACGCAGTCAGCTCTGCTCCTGTCTTAGTATCTACGACAGAAACCTTATGAGTTTTCGCTACATTGAGATTGGAAATGTTCCTCTCCCCAAATGGAAACAGAAAGCATTGGCAATCTACATCAAACACACACAT